ACAAGGTGCAGGTACCATTAAGTGAGGAAATAGTTGAATACAGTTTTTTAAATATAAAACTATAGATCCCACATACTTTGTATACGTTTTCCCACCTTTAATTTTCCACGCTAAAATAAGTAATTTGAATTTAAATTGTTTGAGGAGGAGGGGGGGGGGGAGACAGTTGGAATAGTAGTTATCTTTCTATCCAATAGAATTACCGACGTATACGCAGCAAAAATTGGATACCAATAACAGATGGCAGTATAGCAAGTCATGGTTTTAGCTATTACGTAGAATTGAGATACCAATCCTTGTGTCTGATTTTCCGTGGTCAATATGAATAACAATGGATGAGAAAAGGCTTGTCGTGTGTGTTTAAACTTAAATATCACGAGGAAGTATTTTATCAGCTTTGTGAAACTTCCATCCCATGGTTCGATTTAAGAACAGGTAAGTTATGTACGAATGTCCTTATTGGTAAATTGAATGCTGTGTTTGAAACTGGCCAGTTGTTTTTATTCTTTGTAACCTAATCTGTTTTGTATGGACAAAATAATTTTAATTGACATCTTTAAATCTAATTTCACAGTTATATCTAGGAAAGAGGGAAACGTTTTTCATGTGTAACATAACCAAAAAAACATTCAGAAATAATTTTTATGTGGGAATGAAGTTGTGCAATACAGGTCCCAGAATCATTCATTCCACGAGTGCCATGTGAATTTGGTGCTTGCCCATTCTTTCGATGAATGCATTCATTTGCTATGTTTCTTTCTGTTCTACTGAAACATACAAATTTGTTAATATTATTTGTAGGTATATTGTAATTGAAGTGAATCCCATTAACGAGAATAATGATGCTGCTTTGATATTGAAACCTGCAAGCCTATATTTTTCAATTACAAAGAAAATTCAGCAAGTACATGGAGATTTTGGGGTTGCTGCAACAAAGACGGGACTTGCAGGTAAGTTCATTGCTATAAGTGGATTCTGCATTTTAGACTTTAAATGGTAACATTTCCATGTTACTTGTTGAATATAAAATAATAATTGTTCCATCAGCAATTTACTACAGTTTTTCGTTACTTCCCTGTAATGCACATTTTTTTAACTAGTGTGAACAGAAATCTTAGTGTATGGTGCCGTCAACCCAGTTCTTTCTACATTTTGAATGGGGTTTCACTATGTAACAAGGGGCAAGACCTATTAATTTTATTGTTGGAGTAGAAATAAGAATTCATTGTTATTGGTTATATGTGAATAAAACTAGCCATGCAGTGTCTAGGATAAGCATGCATGAGAGAGTCAAGGGAATCTGGAAAATGGCTGTTCACATCATGGCAGTGTGCCAGTCTGACCACGATTGCAATCTATGCCTCCAAGACCTTCCTGCTCCCCAGATGTAGTCTGCCAGTTACTGCCTGTTTCAGAGAGTGAATGCCCTTTGAAGAGATGTAGGCTGGTAGAAATTTGTGACTGCAGAAGACAACTACTTCAAAAGTGATATGAGTAAAATTCACCGTAACAGGTGTTTTTAAACACATTTGACTTTTGTAAATTGAGGATGTCTGAGAACAAAGAACTGATAGGCATAACCTTTTAAGCAGGAAACCCCAAGTAAAGAGATCACTTAGGAGACCTAGGTATAGACAGGATGGCAGTATTTTGTTGGGTCATGGTGATATAGTGTAAGAATGTGAGAAGTGAATTCATCTGGTTCAGGATAAGGTCCAGTGATGGTCTTATAGGAACATGATATTGAACCTTGTAGTTCCATAAAAGCATCACTTCTTGAACAGCGAAGTGACAGTTTACTTTTCAAAGACCTATGCATGCATGTCAAAACAAAGTTCTAAACATTGACTCCTTGTTCATTCTTCTTCTTCTATGGCGCAACAGCCGAAGTCGAGCGTTGGCCTCCTCCCATGTGGGAGGTTTCTTTGTCTTTGAAGTGTGCATTTATGAGTAGTGAGTGACAAGCAGACTGCCTCTTCACAATTTCTACTAAATCCTGATTTGTCTGCTAGAGCAATTTAGTAGTGAATCAGGAGAGACTTGGTTGAGAAATGGCCGCTGAATTTTGCTTACAAAACATCTCATTCGTGCTCGTAAGATTCTTTGACGTGCCATAAATCTATGACATGGGACCGCTGGTTTTACTTCCCCTTTGAAGGAAGTTGTGCTACAGATTTCTGTCTACCTTAAAAATCCATCGACCTTGGCCAGGTTTGAACCTGCAAAGCACGCTAACCACCAGTCCGCTGAGGGTGACACTCCTTGTTCATTGGACAGTTTTAATTTTTCTCTCGTTGTGTTAGCCAAATATTGCAATAAATGGACAAGAGTTGCTGTGGTGCGTGTTCGGCATGGCGCTCACCGACTTGTGGCCAGTTGTTTGCCGTTATTGCAGCAGGTCGAAAATCAAAATGTCATAGTGAGGACTTTGTATACTGGAGCAACTCTGCAGCATTGTTACAAATTCATACAGGTAAGTTTGCGCTTCATAGTATTTTGTTTGTAGAACAGATCCTATCAGAACTCGTCTACAAACCTTCTTTCCAATAAACTGGCCCTGATTTTTGATGAATCAAACTTGGCAGGGGTCGAGGGTTATTTTTGATAAAAGTTATGGCTGCAGCAGGTACTCTGAAATCAGTCTCTGGAAGGTTTAGGCATGTCAGTTTCATTTTAATTTATTACTTGGAGACAGATGATTCCTCAGAATAGTAAGACTTGATCACCTTTCAAGAAGTGTTTAAGTATGTTTAAAATACGAGGTGTTCATTAATTAGTGGATGATATGTAAGGCATGTAATTATTTATTCATAACACATGAAAAGTTATATTTGAACTTCCATGACCACTAACTAAATAACTAACTAGGTGGCTTACCAAACCCGAAGGTTCATCACCAAATTAACCAAAGCCCTCCACCGGACCCTGTCCTGGGCCAACAAAATCCAGTCTCCTTCGACTCCTATCTCCCAACTTCCATGACCACACATGAAAAAACTTTTTAGTAGTACATAATTTTTTTTTGGTATTTGTTATAAGTAAATAATTACATACCCATAACATCATCTTTTAATTTATGGACAGTCTATGTAATGATTGAATAAATAATAGAATTGATGATGATGAGGTCATGTGTCACTGACACAGAAGTCTTCGCTCATTTTCTTTCAGTTCAAAGCTGTCACAGGCTTATCAATGCCTCGTGAAAGAGCCAAGAGATTATAAAATAATTCTAGAGATGAACTTCTGCAACTTCTTATGCTTCTTGCTTTCAGCATCATCAGAGATCTTACCTGGAAAAGATATGGTCAAAATTGAAAACGGAAGATGAGAGGAACATGATGGAAGCTGCCCTCACAGACTTAAATTCTCTAGAGTTGTTTGGACATGCAGAAGTCAGGAATAAAAAGACGGAGGTCGTGGAAGACAAATAATGGTGAATTCTGGATGCATTAACCAACATTGTATAACTGATGACTTGCTCACAGACTTAAAATATGGAATACTTGTATACTGTTAATGTTGTTGTATGTTTTAATAGACGTATACTTGCTGTATCTCAGCTGATTATTTTAACTGACAATCCTTGTTTCACGGATCAACGAAATGCGTGAAAATTTTAGCACTGAAAAACCGAAGGAAATGTTCATGCATGTTTCTCTACAAAATAGCAAGAGTTCAAATGTGTACTCAGATTATGTGCATGTGCCTTGATGATCTTTTATTACAGTCATAAATGCATTATTACAAAGTTCATCAAAAAGAAGGCTGCATATATGTCACAAAATATTTTTTTCTTTTGTTTCAGTCAGCATAGTGACTGACTAATGGCTGAATTACCAGGGTTTGATTCCTGTCAGTTGCTTGGATTTTACTTTTCACCACATCCAGACCCGCTCCAGGTCCCATCCAGTCTCCTAACCAGTGAGTACCATCGTGATAGATTATGCAAAGAACGAAGCGACTAATGTCATGGACCTGAGTTCTGGTTTAGAAACTGAGTCACTTCTATGGAATCCAAATTTTTGTTACCGTGTTCACAAGAGCCCGCCGCCGGACTTTATGCTGACCCATTTGAGTCAAATCTGCGCTCTCACTTCCTATTTTCTTAAGATCCTTTTTTATATTTTCCTTCCATCTGTGCCCATGCCACTCATGAGTTCTCTCGCAACTTAGGTTTTAATCCTCATGTATTAAAATGTATTTGGCTGATGATGACTGTTCTTTGGGATTTTATGTTGTGCATTCTGGTAGGAGTTTGCCGATTTTTCTGAGGTGCTTGCTGCTCCGTTTGGGCAGGCTGTGTAGCTGTTAAACGGCAGTGGATAAAGGTTGCTTTATGCAGTAAGTCGGATACAGTTTCCTACCAACTGATGGCAGTGGACATACGTAACTTCATGCACAACAACTGTCATGGTCTCGTACGAGCCAGACCAAAGAGGATGATGAAGAGAGTGGAGATTTTGCGATGGAAGGAATTTGTTTTTATCCGTTAGTCAAGAAGTCATTAGAAGTTACAGTTTTGGAACAATTTCTAATTGTGCTAATAAGGGTTTCAATGCACAGAACAATGTTAAACTGAAACATACCATTTCATAATTCTAAAGAACTTCAGTATTGCACTACGTGTGAAGATTATTCATCAGTTAACCAAAATACATCATCAGGCAAGCTACAATAAAGAAAATATTCCTTCTGTATGCATCTGTTCCCCAGTCCAAGTGACCTCACAACGAAGAAGTGCCCAAACTGGCACAGGTGAGTGAACAGGGTTGTTCAGTAATTTAACCTGCCTCGACAAGCACAGCAAATGCGCATAAAGATGTCCGAACTAACGCGCAACAAACAGAATGCAATAAAATAATTCGTCAAATAACATATTCAGTTCATGCTGTATATATTTTCACTTCATATGTCAAATGAGCATTGCCGACGTTTCAGAGATGCTTGCTTCCTGATGACGTAGGCAGCAAACACGTTTGAAACGTCTACCAGACTACGTGGTGCAACAAGCTAGAAGACAGACATGTTAGTACTCGCTGCCGTGAGAGCCCGAAATCTCTTTTTATTGTTATTGTCCGCTCGGTAGTAAGTTTAGTTACCACAGTGACGTAAGTTGGCCGATATGCCGTGAATTTGAAGCAGGGATCGCAGGCGCAGAAATTGCCAGTGATAATATCATACTCCGAATTGCATGCCACGAAGTTGTCCCCTTGGACTTCGGGTGAAGTAACTGCCTGTAGCAGTTCGATACACCGGATTGCCTGTGAATGTCCGGCAGACGGACCAGTCTTGCATGGTTGGTTACGCGCCGCTGAGTGAACGCGCTACATCCCCTTCACTTGTTTCGTCAGCGATAATGTGTACAGTGCGTACTTACAAGTGTCTGCTCAAAAACCACGCGTGGCATGAATCCGTCACAGTGACAGGTGGGTCTTTGTGTTCAAAGTGCTTACACCGAAATTCCATTCTGCGTAGTGCAAAGGTGCATTTGAAGTGCGATATTTTCAAGGGCGGAAGGGAAGATCTCACTTGGCAGATCTTATCGTAAGTATGAAGACAAAGTTGAAGCATTCGGGGAGTGAAGGCGTGGACTGGATTCAACTGCCTGATGGCAGAGTTGAGTGACGGATTTTATGAACGCGGTAATGAACGTAATTGTAAATAGTGTTGTCTACATAACCTTTTATTGTATCATGTATTTCCGATGTTTAGTCATTTGGTCGTATTGGAGTTCCAAACCAGACAACCAATTATTTTACGTAGTAGATCGCAATGACCGATCTTGGACCTCTCGAAACACTGGAATTATGGGATTGAAGCCCACTTTTTGTTTGTCTAAAATAAATTAACAATTTCAGAAGTAATTTTCTACTGTGAAGTCCGCAAAACCTACATCCATGCTTAGACTAAATTATTGGCACAATCTTCAGTGTGGATTTGAACACAACAGATCAATTACTGAGCAGTCATGCCTACACATAATAATCGGAAAGAAGGCTAGGCCTACCCTTTTTCAACGTAGCTTTAGAATACACCGTTAGAATAATCTAAGGAAATCAGAAGGTATTGGAAGGATAATATTAAAATGTATCTGAAAGCAATAGTGTGAGGAAAAAGTCCGGTTTTGTCTGGCAGATATTTGAGCGACTATTAGCTTATCAAAAGGACTGCTTTTAATGGAGTTAATAGTAATAATAATATCACGAAACCAGTTGCCAAATGAAGAGATGATTACCTCTTGGAATTAACATTATAAGAGCTATGTGACGTACAACGTAGCTAATACATGGACGCGATGACCATTTATAAAGACACATTTCCACGAGTTTCTGATCTTCTTTGTTGTCGGACGAGTTTGTTTGATTTAAATGTTTTTCTCCTCTGACAAAAGTACCGTATAGGCCTATTGTTTTTGGTCCATTGAACATTCCAATGCATCTGCTTCCTGGCAATCCGGTTTTGCGTGTTTGTCTTCGTTCTGCTATTAAATGTGCTTCGCTTTTTATTTCTAAGAGGACAAACATGTGGTACTGATTGCAGACTATGCTCGTAACATCTCAGCAGACGGCATAATTCCTAGCTGTTAGTCGCTAAGCCTAAATATTAATTACTATGTTCACAGAAATCAGTGAATTCCCTTCCCTAAATCACATCTACTTATTTACAATCAATTTTAATATTATTATTCTCAGCCTTGGTTTTTTACGTTCTATTCTGGTATTCCGACTAAAATCTAGTACCCATTTCTGTTATGTCTGATCCGGTCAAAAATTTCCGGAGTTGATTTTTATTGACATATGCTGAAGGATGAAATTAAACGTAACATAACATAAGTTCCCTGTTTGAATTTCATATAATATCCGGAATGTAATTGTTTATATTTCCTTTTAAGGATATTTAGATTAAAGGAACATAAACCCGACAACTTTGATGAGAGACCAGGCGTCGAAATTGACGACATTTTCGTGGTTCACGAGAATAATGTTCCAGAGACCTTCACATCATGCTGATATCGGTTCTTCGTTGTTCCCTTGCAAATCCTTTGCCTACCATTCGACGTTCAGAAACACCGTAGTCCGTAAATAAAATAATCTTTTACAACCGAAATCGTATCATTGCATTCAAGTTGGTAGCAGTGTGAAAAAGTAAATAATTTGAATGCGTTCTGCTTTATCAGCGTATAATATCACGCAACGTTAAATCACTTTGATCTGGATCTATGTAGAGCAGTCGCGGTAATGACCCTTTTATTCTCTTTCCGACCAGTGGGCTGCTTTTCAGACAACGTACTTGAAATTAGAGACTAAAAGTAAAAAAAAACAATTCTACAACAGTTGTCTGTTATAATCAACTCGTCACGTGTGCGCCATTGCCAATGCTAGAATTCACATCTGACATATTTCATGAAAGTCAGTTAACCTCAAAACATGCAAATACACCCTGAACTATTCTGCTCAGTGGTTGGTGCTAATATTTTGTATCCACGAGTTCTTTAAGTCTAATTTTAGTCTCAAATCTATTATTCTGAAAGACTTTTACGTCGTCTTTCACAATTCCTTTATGTAAACGAAGTTTTAGCGGTGTCATAAGAGAATCCTTCCAGTTTCTTTCAAATCCAGTCTGTATACATAAACGTCGTATCAATTGATGCTGTAGAATCTCGGATTACGCACATAATAGTGCGTCATGAACGCACATAAACAATAGATCGTGATTTATAAAAATATATTGATGTATCGTGTATATTAGGTATGAAATGTTTTTTAATAATGTCATTAGTTGTTTAATTTCTTTCTTTTCAGGATGAGGACACATCTTATGAATTACTACATAATTTGAGCAACAGATTATAACGAAGAATAGTGAAAGATCAGATTTTTATAATAGAATTTGCATTGCACTGAATAAGATCGAGCTTTGTTTGTTAATCGACCCTGTTAAAGGAGAGGCAATGCAAAAGTGTAATAAATGACAATGGATAATTGGAAGTTTCTGAGGTGGCCTTGGTACCTGTGGGAACTATTATTATTGTTTGTTGTCAACAAAGTTGTGATGAAGGAATGCTGACTGAAATTCTGTTTGAATTATTAGTATTCATTTAACTGTTTATTTCAAAACGAAGACATGAATTTGGGGACGAAAAAGTGAACGTGTTTGTTACAACCGGAAATGTGAAATTGTCGTTTTCCCGTGTTTACCCGATCTTATTGTTAATAACTGAAAGAACGGTCAAGATGGGCAACACAAGTAGCACGACTGGGAGACCCAATCCGGATACTAGCCGTTTGTTGTTCGTCATATGGGTCCTGCATCGCTATTGGTCCGTGGTGGTGGAGAGGCGAAACAGCATGGCGCGCACGAGGACGACGGAGTCACGTGACAAGGAAGACGAACTGATTCACGATGATCTGGATTCACAGTTCTCGGCATGTCTTTGCAGCTTCTGTCAGGACGATGGATTCACCGACTGCTCAAGGTATTGAACCCTCTTTGACTCTTCGAATCCCTTAATTTTAAAAAAAAAGACACTTCTCCAAAGGCTCGTCGCAATGGCTGTTTAATCGTGATCTTGTCGTGACCTTGAATCATGAAATTTGGTGACGGCTGCTACAGTACTAACCAATAGACCATCGGGGCGATAAAATATAATCTTGGCCACATTTTCATTACTATCGGTCATGTAATTTGTCCACGAGATGGTCCTGAACGGTTGATTCTAAGGATGAGCTAATTTTCCAAGACAATTTTCGATGAAAATATTGATTTCGTAAAAATGTGGAGGTTTTTGACCAGCTGAGAAGCTACTAGATTCCCTTGGTCTCAGATTGAGACTTCACATACTCCTTTTTAATGGGGACTTCATTTTTATCTCAAAGAGGAAAAAGTTGTACGAAGTACTTAAAGTCAAATGCGCTCATGCTTTGCAAAATATCTGTCAATTCAAAATTGTCATCACTTTTCTTCAGGCCCCTTCGATCTGTCTGATAAGACAGGAAATATATCTCAAGCACCCCTGATTCAGAACCACTGATGTAGAACCTTAGTCCGGACACCCCGTCTTCGTGTAGGTATTCGAACTTGGGACCTCTGAATACGACTTTTTTAATCGCACTAAAGTTATCTGTCATATGGGATGAGTACAGTGTTCTGTTTTCTCTTAAACGTGACTGTGGACTGTGCCCTAATCGCAACTCATTTGTAATCCAACGACAACGGATGGTAAAATTTCCATACTTGTCGGTCATCAGAGTTCGAATTTCTCCTGGTGACCGTGCATACTCGGAACCTGTATGTTTTTAATAACCTGGGAGTTATATTGCGGATCGTAAACCAGAATGGCCACAGGTCTAGCCTGTTGTCGGTCATAACCTGACGAAATACGTCAGAACAGGAGAGTAGGAAATTAGTTCACGTCCAGTTGTTTTAAATGGAATATGAGAAATAACTGGGCCTACAGAATTTTGGTTTGAAATCCACAAGGATATGGATAACGTGGGATATTTATTTGTAGGTGGGAGGATAATATTAAAGTAAATGTTAGAGGACTGGATTCAGCTGGCGAATGGTAGATCGATCAGTACGTCCGACGCAACATCCCGAAAGACAATAATCTTCATGATGGCCGCCGTGAGAACGTGAACGGTTGTGCGCTCATCAAACTTGTTCTTCAGCTGTTATACCTTTTTTCACATTCTGCTTCTGTCCTGATGCATCGCGATGTTGGTCATCATCACGCGTCATATTTGCTTCTGTGTTTTAAACTTGGTTTATTCGTGTTTCCTTCACGTGTGATTTCTTGTTCTTGTCTTTATGTGTGACCCATATTCTGTCCACTGCTGCTTGCATTTTCCTTTTCGTGTACTTTGCGTGAGGTCAAGCTAACGGTAGCTTACCTTCAGGTTCCGTAAAAGGCGGCAAATCCAAACTTTTCATGAAGGACCGCACCTTAAAGTTACAATAAACTTGCGCCTTTCATATAATGCGATGGTCATTTCATAACATTAGTGTTATTAATGGTTAAACAGGCCGGAGCGTGAAGCTGACCACTCGTCGACTGCGCGGATTTTACCTCCGTGTTCCCCTTGCACCTCAGTGTTCAAAGTAATGTTCCCCAGTGTCCAAACACCACATCGAAGCGTCTATATCGAGGGAGTGGAGGTAAAACTCCGCTCATTTATGGTTTTGACAGCAGGAAGTGAGTTAACTGAACATTTCTGCCACTTTGTTCGGATGGTTAGAGCTTTGGACACCAGAATGCGTGGTGCTGGGAGTCAAGTCATCCAAGCTTTGTTAGCCATAGTGAGAGTGAGATGTAGCGATTCCTTTCATGGAGGCGCTGAGGATAACCTTTAAAATATCAGGATAGTTGGCTTGTGGGCCGACAATAAAACCCAGAATCACCAGATTACTTAACCAGGAGTGCCAGCCATTGAGTTATGACTTCCGGTGCAAAGCAGGAAGGAAGCGTGGAGGAAAGGAGAAAGGGAAATTAAATTCAAACAAATTTTAATGTAGGATTTGAGGTTTTCACGGCGGTGAGTCTGAAGATGTCTTCTGGTTTGTTGCGCCGTGTAGTCTGGTAGACGTTTACCGACGTTTCAGAGGTCTGTGCTGCCTCCATCGTGGAGACAGCCATCTTCAGAATGCAGACCTACATATTGCATTTTTCGAGCAGACTGCAGCGATCTCTGCTGAGCATTATTGAAACTAGGTAGTGCAACTGTCATAGTTTCCATAATGGTCAGCAGAGATGGCTGCAGTCTACTGCTCGCCTACAGATGGCGGACGTTTGCGGTTCGAAGCAGTGGCCCTTGCCCCTCTTCTCCGTAACATTCAGATGTGCAATAACTTTGTTGAAAAAGTGATATTTACGTACTTGTGAAAGCCAGTAACAAATAAGAGCAGACGGATTGGGTTGAACTAAGTTGTGTTGGTTTAAGTTAGTGACATGGATGCGCTGACGAGCAATCCATTTTAATTCATGTTTGACTCGTGTTCAGAAAATGGAAACTAGAGTCACCTTTTCGTCTGTACGTTTGACTGATACTTTCCAGGGACACAGTAGGATTTGAGGTTTTTGCGGCGTTGAGTCCGAAGATGGCTGTCATCTGGGCTGTAGCGCCGTGAAGTATGATAGAAGGTTACCGACGTTTCAGAGGTCCTTGCTGCCTCCATTATCAGGGCGATGAGTAACCTCTGGACGTGGAATTGTGTAAGGCGGTATATCATTTTTGAATGCTAACAGTCGGAATCTGAATCATAAGAAATTTAAACATATATTTCATATTTAGACTGTCACAGTGGGCCTTATTCGCTTTGACGCTGGGACAGTGGGTTCGAATCCCACTAAGGCATCTGTGTTTGTGTTGTGCTGTCCTGAACAGGTGGAGGCCTTGCGACGGGCTGATCACTCATCCAGGGAGACCTGCAACAAGTCTGAATACGTCAAATATTCTCCCATATGGGAAGAGGCCAAGGAGCGTAGAGCCACAGATTATGATAAGTTTATAGATATGTCAGTTTTTGCTATCGTCACCATTTGGAGTAAATTAGTTGTCATTAATTATTTGTAGACATTCTTGTTTCCATAGCGGCTCGATTTAATGTCATGACACACAATGCAAGTTTTGGAGTACAGAGAAAGCGTCTCTCCTTTTAGGGGAGTCGCTTTTGTTGTGTAATGTGACACACTATTTGCTCCGTGGGTCAAATTACTAATGTTTAGAAAGATTTGACAGAATTCTGACAGGCTTCCAGTACATCTATAGTATGCTTTGTTTAAGATTTATATGGAATGAACCTTTTAAACACGTTAAGCCGACGTTCTTATAGAATATCTTCACCAGGATGGTGTATAGTCTGACACGAGTCTAAAGGAGCGAATTGAATCTCTCCAGACAAGTGTCCATTTGATGAATTTCGCCCAAACTTAGATGCTACACGGGAAGAGATGGAAGGTAGCGTAACAGGTCCTCCTGGGTACGTAACTGAGCCTTTAAACATTTTATCCATGGGAGTAAAGTAGTCGAAACCTTCGGGAACTTCGTGTTTCGATCATATTCTAGGCTTATTCGCGAGAAGTTGGAATCGAGGTTCTCACGGCAGCGAGTATGAAGATGACTGTCTTGTCGGTTGTGGCGCTGTGTAGTGTGGTAGGAATTTACCAACATTTCATAGGTCGTTATAGCCTCTCCCTGATGATGGAGGCAGCAGGCACCTCCGAAACATTGGTAAATTTATACCAGACGTCACTGCACAGCAACCTAGAAGTGCGACAAATTTAACACAGTCATGCAGACCACTCCTAAATTTGACCGAAATTCGTTCATTAATTACGAGGCATTTTGTTCATCTCGTGCAAAGAACAATAAAAATACGATTGCCGTTGCTTCGTTGTAGACGTTTAGCAGAATATTAGTTACTCGCATGCACTGCCACTCCGCGGTCACGTGCTGGAAGGCATTTTGATGACACAGCGTTGCTTGTGGCATTCGGTCGCGGTGTGAGACGGAGAACATTGTACCTGTCAGGGTTCGACACTTCTCAGGAAACATACCTCCCCCCCCCCTCTCCAATTTGTCAGGTTCGACATTTCCGCGAAGGTTCTACGACACTTCACCGGAGGTGAATGAATTTCTATCGATTCCATGTTGAGGATCGACTACAGCGCTCGTCTTGTCCTTAGGCACTTTGCTTCAGAGTATTTATTTAGTGTTCTGTCTGACGACAGGTCCATATGAACAGGATCCTTCCATCCTTTTCTCGGACTGGTACCTGTTCATATACGTTCTTGGCAGATGATCCAGAAGTGGTTTGCCATTGCCTTCTTCTGTGTGTGAATGGAGTAATTGTTGGGATGCCACGGAGAAACCGGGGAAGCCCCCGGAGGAAAACTCCGTGTTGCCTAGACCACGGCCTTGCCCAACACTAGTTATAAATTCGGGCACCGCCGGGAATCGAACCCGAGACCCCAGGATTACAAGGCCAGCGTTCTAACCGCTAGACCACCGTGGCTATGCTTCAGAGTTTGCTGTTTAAATATACTTTTTGAGACTCGTTTGTGTTAAGAACAGTAGAAAAGAACGCTCAAATAAGGAGTAAACATATCTTATCAGTTCTTTGTTTGCAATTTGAATAATAGTAAAATGTACTTTTCTTTCGCCGTGTTTTTCTTTGTTTCGTTCTTTAACATGATTCACATGTGTCTTTATCGGTGATTCCCAAGCTAATAAACTGGCGGTATGCTTTGAAGTATTTCAATGTAGTCGTGGGAGCTGACAATGTTCGTACTTTGCATTTGTTCGTAATTGCACTTGCTTTGTGGTTAAGTGCCTCCAACGATGAAATCAGTTTAAAATTTCGCTTTTTTCGTAATTGTCGCGCGTAATATAACACGAGAGATTATCTTCCGTCGAAGAAAGTTTCAGCGTAAACGTAAGAAATGTCTGTTTGGCGACTTCAAGGGACATGACGAGA